AGTTCTTTTTTTCCACAACCTCTCCAACAATTGCTATTACATGTCTTGCTGATAATAGCCATTCTAACAGGTGTGTTCCCACACCCCTTCCCCCCTGGTAACCACCATACTTTGGTCTGTCTCGATGAGTTTTTGTCTTATTTGTTCATTTTTTGCTTTCAGTTTTATATCCCACAAATGAGTGAAATCATATGATTCCTGACTTTTTTCCATCTGACTTATTTTGCTTAGAATAATATTCTCAAAATCCCTCTCTCATCGCAAATGACGATATTTTATTACTTTCATGGCTTATTAGTATTTCATTGTATATATATGTACCCCATTTTCTTTATCCGATCCCCTATCAAAGGATACTTCAATTGTTTTCAGGTATTGGCCACCATGAATAATGCTGCAATGAATAATACTACATTTATCTTGCTGGGTCATATGCTAACTCTTATCTTAATTTTTTGAGAAGCCTCCATACTGTTTGCATAGTGGCTATACCAGTTCACATTCCCACCAGCAGTGAATGAGAAGTTCTTGTTTTCCACAACCTCCCCAACAATTGCTATTGCATGTCTTGCTGATAATAGCCATTCTAACAGGTATGAGGTGGTATCTCATTGTAGGTTTTTTTTTTATCCTCATCCCAGATTATGTCTTTATTGGTTTTACAGAGAGAGAGAAAGGGGGTGGAGAGAGAGAGAGAGAGGGAGAGAGAGAGAGGGAGAGAGAGAGAGAGCTCATGTACATGGACAACACTGTGGTGACTGTAGGAGTGTGGGTGGTGTGTGGAGGTGGAAGAGGGCATAGAGGAGAAGAGAGACTGATGTGAGAAACATCGATTGGTCGTCTCCATACACACCCCAACCAGGTATTGAACCCGCAGTCTAGGTATGTGCCACGACCAGGAATCAAATCTGCAATCTTTGGTGTCCAGGATAATGCTTCAAATGACTGAGCCATCTGGCCAGGCTCATTGTAGTTTTGATTTGCATTTCCCCAATAACAAGTGAAGCTGAGAATCTTTTCATATATCTGTTGGTCATATGTATCTCTTCTTGGGAGACGTGTCCAGATCCTCTGCCCATTTTTAAAATGGATTGTTTGTTTTCTTGTTGTTGAGTGATTTATATTTTTGCTTATTAATCCCTTATTGAAGGTGTTGTTTGCAAATATCTTCTCCCATTCATTTCATTGAATTTTTATTTTGTTAATGATTTCTTTTGCTGTGTAGAAGATATTTACTTCAATATTGCCCCATTCATTTATTCTTGCTTTTACTTTCCTGCCTTTGAAGTCAAATTAATAAAATCCTCTCTCAGACCAAGGTCCATAAGTTTATTACCTATGTTTTCTTCCATGTAATTTATTGTTTCAGGTTTTATATTTAGATCTTTGATCTGTTTTGAGTTAATTTTTGTATATGGTGACAAATAGCAGTCTAGTTTCATTTTTTTGCATGTGGCTTTTCAATTTCCCCAGCACCATTTATTAAAAGGCTTTCTTTCCCCATTTTATGTTTTTGGCTCCTTTGTTAAAAAGTATTTGCTCACATACATGTGAGTTTATTTCTGGGCTCTCAATTCTGTTTTATTGATCTGTGTGTCTATTTTTTTTTTCTGCCAGTACCATGCTGTTTTTATTATTGTCGCTTTGTAATATAACTTGAAGTCAGGGAGTATGATACTTTCCACTTTGTTCTTTGAGGATCATGTTTTTTGTAAGTCTCACAATTCCATAGACATTCTGGACAGTATTTCAACATCATTGAGATATTGCCAATGACCTGATTTGATAATTTTTGACACTTTCAGAATTGATAGTTAATTCATCATTATATTCTAGAAAACCAGGCTGCCTGGCTTTAAATCCTAGGCCTGCCTTTTAAGAGCTTGTAACCATAAGCATCTAGCTTAAATTCTTTGCCTCTCTATCTGAAATTGTAAAATGTAGGTAATAATAATAATAATACCTAAATCGTGGTTGTTATGAAGATTGAATCAGATAATATGCATCAGTGAAGGTAAAGAGACAGGTAGATGATGGGGATATAGAATCTAGTCAGTAAAATAGTTATGCCTGTAGCAACTTAAATTTTATTTTAAAATGCTGTTTCAGCCTTGGCTCAATATTACTTAAGCATTGGTACTTTGTGAGTAAAGAGTCCTTATCAAGAACAGTATATTGAATATGCTTAATTAGCATACATTTTGGATAGACTAAAACCAAAACTCCAAAGCCTTAGTTGGCTTGAAAACGACACCAGATTTAGCAAATGAGTTAGAGAAGATGAAATAGAAAGTAACACATTTATAGAACATGCATAGGCAGTGGAGTGTTTGATTCACTTCACTACTTCTGTGCAATTTAGTTTGTTACAGTCAGAGAAACTGTCCATATTTTAAATGGTTCTTTGGCATCTTAGCATTAAAAACATTTGCAAACAAACCAACAGTGGGTGGGGGTGGAGAAATGCTAAAAGATGCTTTGTCAGGATTTGAGTTGTCAGGAATAACAGGCCGATTGACTGGGGCTAGGACCATCTTTGGGTGGAAGGAGCTCGGTCACCTGACTGATGGAAAAGCAGCCGTGGGTAAGTCACTGGGACTCAGGGCTCTTGAGCCAGATGACAAAGCCACCAACATGTCCAGCTAGTCTTTTCTTCGTGTGCTATTTCTTATTTGCCTTAACAACCACACCATTCAATTAGTGGTTTCATATCTGTTTGGATAAGTTTGTTCACATAACATGAAATATATTTGCAGGGTGATGGGTGAAGAAATGTCTAGTTCTTTAAACTTAACTTCGTGAGTGCTTCAGTGTCCTCAGGGCAGTCTTTGCTCACACAGCTGATGCTGATGTGAATCTTCAGGCACCCACTGCTGCTGACTATAGTTCGCAGGCTTTGGTGTGTCCCCAGAGTTTGGACAACCCTCTTGGGCTACTAGGTGATAGGTGATGAAATGCAATATCTAGAACACAATTTTTTTTTATTTTGATGGCATATAACGTATGTCCATATTACTTGGTGTTTGCACCTCCATCAATTACACTTTTCGGCCTTAAAAAGTAATTTTTTCAGATTTTCACATTCCCATGTCTGAAATTAGTCTGCCTATGAAAGTATTTTCGTTCTCGGCTCTTTGAAGCTGGCTGTATTAGTCCATTGGATTAATTCCTTGGGAAAATTTTTCCTTTAACGAAAAAAAGGAATGCCTTGCCCATTTATCAAGTGACTAAAGATAGCTGGGGATTAAGTCTGAATGGAGTGATTACTGCTTTCAAAAACCTAAATAATGGAAAGTATGTTGTTGTTGTTGCTCTTGCTTAAACAGTTGCCTCGGTCAGCAGGGCCCCGCCTGGTGAATGTCCACCTCCCCTCTTGTTCCTAACTTGTAAACTTGTGTATGAGTTTCTATGCATTCGTAATACTTACATTTATTTATTCTGCCTTTGAAAAACTTCTGAGAGGGAAATTTAAGAATCGAGCCTGTATATTTTTATTGTTATTTATTATTATCATTCTTAGCTATGGATGTAGCGGCACATGCTTTTTTCAAATATTATTATCGAGTTAAAAATTTTAATCATAAAGCTATTGTGATGAAGCCAGTGTTAGTCTATTATGAAAACTCTGCGCTTTTTCATTTTTGAGAGCTAAACCCAGAATGCATTGAGCTGTGCCTTAGTTTATTTTCCATTATCTTTCCACCACCCCCCTCCCACCCCAGAAATCATGCCATTCATTTAATACTTCATTACAACTGAACTGCAGTATGTATACAGGGTATGCAAAATGAGCCATTCTGTTTTAAAACAGATTGCAGATGAAAGGAAACCATTCATTTCTTGCTTGCTTGCTGTAATTACTAGAGCACTAATTACTCCAAATCACTGACATCCAGGGTCAGGAAGATGACAACAGAAACATCAAAGAAAAGATGTGGCTCACTCACTAGAACAGCTTTTCCATATTCCCAACCACAGTATTTTTTTTTTTTATGGTGACTGTTTACCATGGTGGCTTGGAGTTTCCAGTTTGATGGTGAAAAACAAACAAACAAACAAAAAGCCCTGCACACAGTCAAGATTGCTGAATGTTTACTATTATTTCATTCGCAGTTTGACGGTGAGAACATGTATATGAGCATGACAGAGCCGAGCCAGGACTACGTGCCAGCCAGCCAGGTGGGTTAATTAATCTTCTCTGCCTTGTTTCAAATTGTAATTAAACAAATTCAAAGAGTTGCATTGCAAATGAGTAGCACTATCAGTAACTGCCGCAATCAGGAATAATCATAATTTATAAACAAAGCATTTAAGCCTTGTTTCCAGTTAATGAGATAGAGCTGATAAAACACCAGAGTTGGCATTTGTTGAAAGATACTACCTTGTTTCCCCTCCAGAACGGCAAGCAGCTGTTTTGCCAGCATGATCTTCCCTAAACAGTTGTTTTACCTTTAGGAAATAAAGTCTTTACAGGTGCAGGTTATGTGTGCTTCTGACTAGAGACAAGTTAATCATTTTAAGCTACACATGTCACAAATAGCTTTAATTATCCACTGTTGGGGCAAGAAAATGGTATATTTATAACCAAAATTGCATGGCCAATGAGCGCTATATGGCTGCTTTCAGAACCTACGGGGTGGGTACTTTCAAGCCAAAATGCATGATGTGATTAAAATTTATCAAGGGCACGTTTGTATCCATTTCACTGGGAATGATTGACACAGTATTTAATCATGAGAAGTGACAACAAAAAGTCCAAAGAAAATGTAAATGGATACATTTATAAAAGTCAATGCTTGGCTATTTATTTTTAGATACTTTAGACCAGGCCCTTCAATCCAGCAAGGGCATTTAAAGCAAAAATTATAACTGCCCTAGGGTGCCAGTATAACATAATATGTAAGAACATTGTAAGCAAAAATGAATGAATGAATGAATGAAAGTGAGGGTGAGTTCATAGGAGTATTTTAGGCACTTGAATGTATTTTTTCCTAGAAGACTATAAAACCATAGTAGCTTGGAGTTTCCTGTAACAGTGACTATGGTGGAAACTCTAACATAGTACTATAGTTTTCAATACCTACATAACTACTCAAATAGATTTGTTAACTGGGAGGGGTATGGGCAGAGGGGATTAGAAAACTTCTGTTGTTGTCCATGGTGGTTGTTAGTGAGTTAAATCTAATGTATATGTAAAGGGTGCACTCTGTGGGGCTTTGAAATTTCGCTAAGAACAAAATGTCTTGTGTTTAACTCAAAACAGAGGCAGGCCTGCCTCTGCGTGAACTTTGCATTTAGAAGTCATTATGATCACTGCCTCCTCTGGCAGACATTCTAGAAACCACACTATATTGTTCAGATGAGAAGGTCATGGTGAAGTTCAAAGATCCAGACAACATTTTCTTCCGTTCAACCGAGTTGATCACACTCAGAATACCTTCGGAAGGCCGAGCTTTGCATTTAAAATTCTTACTGAACTGAATTCATTCGGCTAAGTACCCTCCCAGATCCATAGGTGGTTCAGAATAGGACTGTTTGATTAAAAAATGAAAAATGTTACTATTAATTTTCTTCTAACCATCAATCCCAAAACTGTACTGACAAGTTTAGTATTACTATTAGATTAGAGCAACCCAGTATCATCTCTTTGGTGCCTTTAGGGTTTTGAAGTGTAAGGGCTAATTGAATTTGTTTGAAACAGTAGAAACACAAACTCAATAAATGATTGCAGTTATAAAGCAGCTGCTCCCTCTCAGAGAATCATTATGTCCTTCTTAAAGACTTTTGGATAAAGGATTAGAAATTCAAAGCATATACATCACAACAGCTTGGGTCCTTAGATTTTTAAATTCAAGTCAGCAGATAATATTAAGCCCTGGCTAAAAGCAAACAGCTAACAATATTTTTCTTAACATTTCAGTCAGGAGCTACTAAGAATGTAAAATTTATGAAGGAGTAAAGAGCTCCAAATACTTTGTTTTTGTAAGATATGGCAGGTTTGTGTGCCAGAATCAAACTATTTTTTAATAATGTAGCATACATGAAAACATTTTTAGAATGTACTGCTTTTTAAAAACAGACTAATATAAGATAATACAAACTCTGGGTGGGGGAGGATAAATTTTACAAATTATACAAGTTCAATGGCCTTAGCTAAATTTTGCACTTAGCATTTCTTTTGTTTACTATAACATAATGTGGTCAAGAATCCATTACCTGGTATTCTGTTAGGGACTTTTAATCAATTTACCCCTTTCAGCAACCATAAATAAGATTTTAGTCATCCTGAAGGAAAAAAAAAAGTTTTGTTCTTTTTTCCTACATAACATCAAACATCTGCATAGTTTAGTAATCCAAGACAACTTGCCTCATAGCATCACTCAACAATTATAATTCCTGTTCAATTTTCAAATCAGTACATGCTTTGGGACTTACAGACTAAGTTGCTAAGTAGGAACATATGGTGCACTACTGCTCCTGTGATGTTGCTGCAAGCAAATAGCATAATTCTAAACTTGAAATGATTTTTATAGAAAGCCAATGCTGGAATAGCTCCAGCAATGGAAGCACACTGTAAAAATTAATGATATTCTTTTAGACAGTCCCAAAGGGCTCTTTGGCACTATCTACTGCATGCACTCTATACCTCTTGAGTGGGTATAGAATCCTTAAAATATTTTGCATATCATTTTGTATTGATAGGCAGCTTTTAAATTGAATATACCACCGCATAATAAGCCTAACAAGTATGTAATAAAAACTCATGACATTTCCACTCCTCTCTGGTTCCATTCTTGGAATATTGGCTATTTTCTCCTATAATGGCTAAAGTGGGCTGGCCACTCAGTGCTTTAATTCAAACACCACTTAAAAAGTCCTTACTCTGGATAGAATTTGAACCATGCAATGCAAGATTTTTTTGTGTCTTTCCAGACTGGCTAAGAGGACCCACATTGCTCAATACCTCATGAAATCACAGGTTCCCTCCTGCAGAGTTTGTGGGACAGTGTGCGTGGGCTAATGAAAGGAATGTTGACTGAAGAGTGGCTAACAGTTCCTCATCAATTCACCCCTTTCTCATTCCTAACCTGTCATGTTTGACTGACCATGTGCCAGAATACACAACCATAAGGCAGAGCGGGTGGGCTTCTCCCCCAAGCTCCAACTCTTCTCCACATTTCCCAGACCCACTCAGATTCACATGCTATGAGGTCCTTCTCATCCAGCCCCTAGAATTATAGTACCTTCCGTAGCCTCACCTATGATTGTATTCGAGCTATAGATGTTCGTTTGAATTGCGTACATCGAAGGAAACAGAGGAGGAGTCTGGTTGTCTTGGTCAGAACTTCCTACGGCACAAAGATGAGTTACTTATGTTTAGTTTTGAATACCAGTAAGTGCCGTTACTTTTTCTCCTCCTTCCTTCTTCTCTGGCAGTTCCCAGAATATCGTTTTCCATGGCTACCTGTTTATTCCAAGTTTTCCACACCCCCTGGCAACCTGTTTCACCACTTCTCTGACCCAGGAAGCCCTCTCCTTCATGCCTCCTTTGGGATCCTGTGGGAAAATTGTGGAAAAGGACTGGTCTTTTTATATGAGAAAGAATTGTTTAGTAGTGGAAATCAGAAGATTTTTCTGGTGTCAAGTCATGAAGAAGCTTTGATTACTTGATTGGAACATATTTCAATAACTTACTTCCTCCTTGACCTTGGCCTCTATTTCACTAAACTATTTCCTTCTGTCTGGGCCCCACCCCACAGTTTCTTCATTCCTTCCCTTCCTCCTTCTTAGTTTCCTTTCTTCCTTCTTCTTTCCATGAACAAATATCCCGTCAGGATGAACTAAATTTTTATTATTAATTCTGAGCATCATAGTAAACTCAAAATATTAAATGTCCTGCACTGAGAACCCCATTTTAGATGATTTTCAGGTTGTGATCAGGCTTCTCTCTGCTTCTTTTCTCTTACCCCACTGAAATTTTCTCTTACCTGGACCCTCAAATCTCAAGGTTAAAAAACAACAATGATAAAATAGAGCAATATTATTTTTTTCCTAGAATCACACAACTGAACATTGGACATATTTTTCAAACCACGCATTTTGAATATAAAAGCTGAAGAGTGCCTGTGGATCTAGGGCAGCTCTCTCATGTGAATTTGGGGTTTGATTTAACTTCACTGGACACCTGTCCCTGACAATAGCTCAGACTCAACATATCAGTGCATCAAAATAAAAATCATCTTCAACCAACTCCCTCACCCCCTACACTTCTTTTTCCTATATTGCCTGTAGTCATAACAGTTCACACCACCTACCCAATCTCCCAAGACAGAAACTTGGACAGTCTCCCTTATCACTCAGCGCGGAGTTAATTGCAGATAGTGTTGATTCACCTTTTTGCGTAACTGTTGAATCTGACTCCTCTTTTCCTTGTACGTAATTACTGCTTGAGTTCTGGGCCCCACCGTTTCTCATTAACTTATCTCATCCCATCCCACTTTTACCTTTCCATTTCTCCTCGCACTGTCGCTGAATGATCCATGTTTCTTCCCTACTCACACACCTCCATGCCTCTATTATGTGTACGTCGGAGTTATCCAGGCACATATTTGCCCCTCTGTGGCATGTAGCATCCTAAAATTGGTACCAATTTCCCTTTTTTGCCCACCTGATTATGAGCTTTTGAAGGTAGGACTCACTCTTGTTTCTCTCTGGATCTCCTGTGCCTATAATAACACATCAGAGGTATGCAACATTTTTTTGTTGAAAGATGAGTAAATGAATTCAAATATTTTGTGTACATTTTTAAATTACATTAGTACTTTGAATTTTCTACTTGCAATGATTTTCAACCCTGCATTACAGACAGTTAGCAAATCTGGCCCTGCCCATTCCATTCTACTAGCACCCCTCTGTCTAGTGTCAACACCTCTACACATTAACAGAAGGCACCAGCTCTCCCACCTTTACAGAGAATCATGTCAAGTACAGGGCTCAAATAATTAGTGTGATGCTAAACTAGATAATAGTAGGCAGTTATTGCTGCAATAATACCATGTTGCTCTTTGTCATCAGCAATACAAAGGCTGTAGAAACAAAAGGACTCACTACCTTCCTTTTTGTACACTATTTTATTAAATCTATTAAACTTATAATGTTCTGAGTTTGCAAACATATTA